TATTATAATAGACTGAGTGAAGGTACTGATGTTAAAGTACAGGGCTCTCTCCTTCAGGTCCCTCCCATAGAGGTTGTGCGTTGCTGCTATATAGTTGAGAATAGCTCTGGTTTGCACCAACTTCATCCCATCGATTTCCACCATGGGAACCTGTTGAAACATCAGGGCCCCGTCTATGGAAAGGAAAAGGAAAAGTCATAATACCACACCAAACTGATTATTGCACTGAACTACAGTGCTGCAGTTGCCTCAGGTTAAATCTTATCATGACATGGAATCAGTTACAATTTGTGGATGGAAAAGTCTAACAGTGTAGGCCAGGGACTGTCAACCTACAGCCCACTGACTTTGGCACCATTAACTAGCAGTGGACTTCACTTCCTCTGTCTAGTGGTGTGGCAAGGCAACAGAGAGAAGTGGGAACAGCAGCTGGATCGTAGCCCTAGCCTGATTTGAACACAAGCCAGGTCATTCTGCCCCACTGCTGGGAAAAAATGCTGCCAAAACTTGGTATAGATCATCAACAGTAAATCATTAGGGCTGGTAAGGAACATGAGCAATTTTTACAGTTCAACAGGGAAAAAAAAAAGAAAAGAAAAGTTTACTGTGGTCCTAACTCATTAAAAGAAAAATCCATCACATAATGCCATAACTTGATTATGAACATCAGTCCTTACAGCTGGCACTGAAACACTGGGACAAAGGGATGAAGTGATTACCTTTGGAGGATCAATAAAAGCAACTTTTTATTACTCAGAAGGGACTCTCCGTATACCAGTGTTTGGAAGTTATAAGTTTCCCCATTATTAAACAAAAAAACCCAAAGCGAAACAATGAAAATGTAAAGTAAACCAAAACTGTCACGGTGTGGGGTCCCCAGGGATGGCTGTGATGACCCTAGGCCTCCGTGACTATGCCTGTGGGCACCTTTTAGTCTTTCCTGCCATGTCTTGTTGGTTGAAATAACAACCTGGGAGGCTGCCCATGATGTGTGTGGTCATGGACCTGCTGAACCCCAGTAGACCCTGCTCATCATAGATCCCTTGCTAGGTTTTGCTCAAAGTCAGTGCCTCTCAGGACACCTCAAGGCTTATGCTAGATGCATGGCTCCAAAAACCACCTTTTTACCACGCCCAATGCCTCACAGGTTGCATTTAAACGTCGTCCCTTTTGATGAGGCTACAGTGTAGCTCGGCCTCCTGTCGTCACTGGGCCCTTGGCCTCAGTAGCTGTGCTCACAAGTGACACGTAGTGGGGGGCACAGAGGGACATGTGCTCCCTCTCCCACCATCACCAACATCATTGTGGCTGCCTGCGGGCAGTCTCTGCTTGCTGCCGCGGTGCCCCTCAGTTTTTCCTTTTTTTTCTTTTCTTTCCCTCCCCTTCCCCAACCATTTCTGACTTATTCTTTCCCTCTCTATCCCCTATAGATAAGTATAAGTGAGCTAAGACATAGGATAAGCTTCAGCATTTTATTTTGGTAGCAAGTTGTATTTCTTTTGTTTTTTCTCCTTCTTTATATTGTATAATTATTATGTTTTTATTGATTTTTACTGTTCTATATTACTGTTTTACTGGTACTATACAATTTAAGCCTACATATGTAAGTTAGCTTAAGTCATGTCAAGTTTCCATTTTGTTTGTCAAGCCTCCATCCTGTCCCCAGGCCGGGTGTGTAACTCATAACTCACACCTACCCCATCTATGTAACTTGGTTCCTGCATGAATGGGAATGAATGAGGGTGCTTGAGAGACAATGGCAGTAGGTCTAAAACTAGCTCCCTCTGAATGATCAAACCATCAAACACCAATACCTGGACCAATGACCCAGCCCTTGTAACCACCCTCAGCATTCAAGAAACAAAAGATGAGGCAACCCACCATTGTGCCAAGGCTGCACATGCTCAGTAAGAACACCTGGAGCCCTCTCGAACAGGACTGACATTGCCTGGACAGGCCCTCCCCATAGGAGATCAGAGGTAGCCTGCCCCATAAAAGGGGTAGTGAAGACTGACTCCTTGGGATGCCCTCTCCATCTGGACCAGCACCATGCCACGCCACCTATTCACCCAGAGGCCCTGCCGGTGACCCCCACTCTGGACAACACCTACTGGACAAGGACCCCTTTCCAGCCTGGATAGGTAGCTATCACCCCCCACCCCCTCTTCAACCAAGGACTTGGACTCTGATTCTCTTCCCTACCTGGACCCCAGCCCGTCCACTAAGTCTCTTTCTCCGTGTGTGTGTGCATGTACACACCAATAACTTCATGGGAATGTGTAGTGTGTGGTCTATTTAATAAAACTGTTATTTGGACCCCTAAGTTAGGTTTTGTTTACTATGGTTTGGCCCTGCTCCAATCTCTGCTCCTCACCCCTCTAACTTCTGTCTCATTTCTCCCTCTCCTGCTTCTGGCTCACTGCCACCTCCAGCACCTATCCTTCACCCCTGCAATGATA